GGGGCACGCCCATTCGCGTAGCCATACTCTGATTGGTTGCACAATTGTCCCCCACAACATAGCGCACCATCTGCAGGTTCTTCTCGTACACACTCAGTACGGTGGATATATGATCGAGGCGGGCTTCAGCTGTCTGGCCGTCTTCCATTGGCGAAAGCGCAAGAAGGCGCTGGTGGCGCACACCATTGTAGACGTAGATCGCGTAGATACCGAGGAAGTGGAGTGAGTGACTAGTCCGACCGTCGAACATTAAAGCAAAGCTTCCGAGGAAGCCCACAGGATTTACACTCAAAGCGGCCTTCGCCGAGGTCGTTGATGTAGAATGCGCAGAGCTGACGGGAGGCCATCGTGGGTAGCGTGGTGGGTAGCGTGGCTAAGAGCGGTGGCTTGTTCTCAAGAGAGGAAATTGAGAAGTGGGGAGTGTGTGGATCAAAGCTCGCAGCGTGTATTTGCAAGGCAGTAGAGAACTGTTGGCTGTCAGCGCTCCTGGAAATGGCTGGAAGCGTGGAAAATATTGTATTATTGTGTACCGCTTTGTATTATATTTATCTTGGAAAAATCAATAGTAAGTTATTCCGTAAATATAATACCCGTAATATTAATATTATACTATTTTTCCCATGCCCTGCCGGTGGATAGATTATTGCTGAGTGAGATACGATAAGTGGGTAGGAGTATTGAATTGTGTTAATTCCCTGCTCTGAAAGAAAGTGATCCGGAAGATCGCAGGATCTGTGGACTATCTGAATGAAAGTGATCCTGCTTTTTCAGAGAAATGGATTGGTTGACGAGGCTCAGCAAAAGATCAAGTCGAGATAAAGATCAAACAAGGTTGAAAAAAAAAACCTTACCTCATTCTCATTTCTTTATAATCCAAACAAGTATTCTCTATTGCCAACCATGGACACTTCAACAAGTAAGGAGCGCAGTGTGAGCGCTACCGGTTCCATTAAGGGCAGAGCTGGTGATAGCGACAAAGTACTACATGGGCACGGGCAAGCGACGTCAAAATCTGGTGACGCTGCGGGTGCAGATAGCAAAACAAATGGCATTCGGCTCCTAGACGTGGCGTCGCTGTCGAAACGCGGATACGGTAATGAAGACCGAATTGTGGTAGACACCAACCAAAACTTCCACTTGTTTGCAGTCATCGACGGCCACAACGGAGCGGTAGCAGCCGATTATTTAGTCGAGAACCTGTCTAAAACGTTGAGTGATGTGTACGACAACGGCTTTGACCATGCCAAGCTGTGTGAAGCGATGGAGGAGCTGGATCGAATGTTTTGTACATTGGAATGGAAAAGTTGTGGGGCGTGTGTACTGGTCGTCCTCCTTTATGTTGCCCCGAATACCGATACCCCGCAGAAAATAGTGCTTAATATCGGTGATTGTCGTGCTATTATTCGAGAGGCGCCGGAGTCTATTGCTGGGAAGAACGAGGCAGAAGATGAAACTTCTCCAGCTGCTAGCATTGTCGCCCTCTCCGAAGATCACTGCGCATCGAACGAGAAGGAGATGGCGCGAGCTCTTCGCAGTGGGCCCACGATTGAAGATAACCGCATTGCAGGGATCTTGCAGCCCTTCCGGGTCATCGGTGATGCGGATTTAAAGGGCCCCGACAAGAAGGATTGGGTCATCCCTACGCCTGAGATCCATCAAAGCGAGTTACTCGTTGGTCGCAGCATCTTAGTTATCGCCAGCGATGGCGTTTGGACGGTTCTCGACAATGACTGTGATGGAACTGGCATTTAAGGAAATCGGAGCTAACGGATCTGCTAAATCCGCTGCTGAAGCTATCGTCGGTGAGGCAGTCAAAAAGCACAGCAAGGACGACATCTCAGTCATTGTGGTCTCAGTGTAGATTCAGAGACAGCGCCAGTGCCAACAACAAAATGATAATTATGAAGATTTCTATTTTGGATTGTTATCTTTTCTACAGAGGTCTCATAATGTAACGATTCGTTTTATCCGTGACAAATTATAACAAAGTCGTGTTTTGCACGAAGAAGCCGTGATGACACAAACATTTCTCTATGGTACCGGTATGGTATCTAGCGCGGGATAATGATGGCGCGGGGGAGATGCCCTAATGACGATTTGAATCTAAGCTTACGGTTATTACATGTAATAGCTTTGTATTCTATTGAACACTGAATAATAAGTAAAACATAATTTGTAAAATGATTTCATACGTACGTTACGGTAAAGACATTGCTTTAAAATATGACTGCAGGGTGTGATTTTGATACATGTTTGCAGTGATGAATGTCCTCAGCTTGAGGCTCTAGGGGTGCCTGTGTCATAAGTCACCGGTGGTTAGCTATGAAAAAGATGTCTATGACAGTCGAATATTTAATCGGGTTTACTGAACGGCTCCTATCATCTGGTCTGTCTGATAATGCTTCAGATATGGCTCATTTATAATTACACCAAAAATGTTCTTGCAAAGAGTAAGATGGCCTAAAGCGTTTTACATAATTATCAATTAGCGATCAGTGGAGCGTTACTGATCGGACCAGGCCGGGCGGGTTGAAAATAATGCAGCTGGTAGAGAGTTCTTCAAATTAATTTAACGTGTAATAAGTCTGATCTCTTTATCAAATATATAATGGTAAATGGTAAAGCTAATATGCGTGTAAAATAAATGTTTATCACATACACGAGATCAAAGCCTCCCACATGAGCGGGGATTCCTCCCCTTTTCGCCGGCTCGAGGTAATGATGGTAAAGCGCTTCTTTGTGATTCGCACAGAAGAGCACCGTGTGCGATCGTTGGGGTGGCGGGAAGCGCGTTCTCGGTGGAAGTTGACGATGGCAATACGATGTACGACTTGGATTTCATTAAGCACCATTCTTTCGGGGCGTCGCTGATCAGCAAACGTGACAGCAAACTCAATCAATTTGCTGTCGGCCCGGGAATTTATTTGCTGATTTCCTCCGTTGCTGTCAGCGGTGGGGCAAGCTATCCTTAACTTATCTATAAATTATTTTGATTTGCATTCTTATTCGCAATATACGGTTCGCGGTGGAGATGCGGGCACGCTAACTTGTCATCATAGTGGTGTACAGATCGAAGCCCTTTACAATGGGTTTTCAGCTATCCATTTTGTAAAAACTACCGGTCTAATTTTTTAAAATCGGGCATACTGGTACAGGCGCCTGTTTTAATTTGAGATTTGCAAGAAGAACTTTCTTGTAAAGCACCATTTTAAATCGACCTCTTTGTAGTATAACATTGATAATTCGTCACATATAAAACGAATCGTCGTATTATGAGAACACCATGAAGGCAGTAGTCGGCATCACCGCTGTTGTTTCTACCTCTCGGCGATCAAAGTGGTGCTGCAAACTCGGTCGTCGGCCTCACTGCCCCATGATCCTCGCTGGAGCTATCAACAATCTGCTCTGGGTTGTGTACGGCTCCCTTGTGTTCGACCTCCTCTCTGGAAAAAGTAACAAATTAAAATCGAAAGTCATCATTTTGTCGTTGATACTGGTGGTGCCTGTGACCCTACACCGAGACCACAATGACTGAGATGTCATCTTCGCTATCCTTTTTGACTGCCTCACCGACGATAGCTTCAGCAGCGGATTTAGCAGATCCGTTAGCTCCGATTTCCTTAAATGCCAGTTTCATCACACAGTCATTGTCGAGAACCGTCCAAACGCCATCGCTGGCGATAACTAAGATGCTGCGACCAACGAGTAACTCGCTTTGATGGATCTCAGGCGTAGGGATGACCCAATCCTTCTTGTCGGGGCCCTTTAAATCCGCATCACCGATGACCCGGAAGGGCTGCAAGATCCCTGCAATGCGGTTGCCTAGAATGTTGGCCCCACTGCGAAGAGCTCGCGCCATCTCCTTCTCGTTGGATGCGCAGTGATCTTCGGAGAGGGCGACGACGCTAGCAGCTGGAGAAGGCTCATCTTCTGCCTCGTTCTTCCCAGCAATAGACTCCGGCGCCTCTCGAATAATAGCACGACAATCACCGATATTAAGCACTACTTTCTGCGGGGCATCGGTATTCGGGTCAACATACATGAGGACGACCAGTACACACGCCCCACCTATATTCCATGGCGGCGTGTCCAATGCACAAAACATCCGATCCAGCTCCTCCATCGCTTGACACAGCTTGGCATGGTCAAAGCCGTTGTCGTAAACTTCAGTCAAAGTTTTAGACAGGTTCTCGACTAAGAAATTGGCCGCTCTTGCGCTGTTGTGGCCGTCAATGACTGCGAACAAGTGGAAGTTCTCGTCGGTGTCCACCACAATTCGGTCTTCATTACCGTATCCGCGTTTCGATAGCGACGCCACATCCAGGAGCCGAATGCCATTTGTTTTGCTATCTGCACCCGCAGCGTCACCAGATTTTGACGTCGCTTGCCCGTGCTCATGTATTACTTTGTCGTTATACACCAGCTCTGTCCTTAGTGGAACCGGTAGCGTTCACACTGCAATG